CCCCCCCCCCCCCCCACATACACACCCAGTGCACGAATTTCGTGCACCGGGCCCCTAGTATATATATAAATAGGTCCCTAGTGGAGACTGCCATGTATGGCACTCAAGTACATTGTGAATAATGAATCAAAATTAACCCTGACCTTCCACTTAACTCCAGAGTTGTAAAGACTATAGTGGTAGCCTAGTAATTCGTGTGTGTTCAGACCATTGGAGACTTGGGACCCTTCTTATCAACCTGTGCAAGTATTTAAGAAACACAAGGGATCAGGCTGGGAATTGTGTGCTCCTTTCTCTGATCAGGGGCACAACTAGAAAATTTTAAGCTAGTATAGAGCATGGGATATTATAGTTCATCATTTTACAAATGAGGATATTAAGTTCCAGGGAGATTAGTCATTTGTCCACAATATTATAGCTAGTTAAGGCTAGAGGCAAAATTAGAATACTGTTTTCTAGTCCTTTGTTATTTTCATTACTGGTATCTGTCCGTTAATAGATCTCATAAAATATTACGATTAAGTGTTTGGGAATGTAGATAAGGTGGCTTAATATTAAAAGGTAAATTGCTTAATGATTTTATTTTTAGTAGATTTTTCAGTCAGATTGTTGCCTTTTATTTTTAAAAAAATATTTAATCCTCACCCAAGGATATTTTTTTATTGATTTTTTTAAAGAGAGTGGAAGGGAGAGGTAGAGGCAAAGAGAGAGAAACATCGATGTGAGAAAGACACATCGATAGGTTGCTTCCCGCACGGAATTGAGCTTGCAACTGAGGTTAGTGCCCTTGACTAGAATCCAGCCGAGGACCCTTCAGTCCGAGGGCTGACGCTCTGTCCACTGAGCCAAACTGGCGAGGGCAGATTGTTGCCTTTTTAAAATAATATGCTTAAAATGTAAATATAATTTCCTGTGGCTAACTCGAGCATGTTGCAAGTTTAAAAAATTGTAGAGCACCTTTTTGGGAGCACTGTGATCAAGAGTTTATTGCAAAGATCCCACAGTGGTTGGTTTATGGTCCAAACTGTCCCTAGTCATAGTGTCCGATGGGCCACACCACAAATCTTTTCACGGTCCAACTGTAATTCTAAATTCTCAATTTACTATTTTGTTGGATGAAACACTGTTAAATCTCTAATTTCTATGAAAGAAAGTCTTTCACCTGCCTTTTCTTTAATTGGTCTAGGTCCGATTCTAAAACTAATCTGTGAAATTTAGAAAATAGGTATTTACAAAAACATTTTTAAGCTATTGAATATTACATTTGCCTTGTTTGTGTCTCTCTTGACATCCTGAAAAAGGTTGTATAAGGTGTGTCCTTTTACTAGAAAACCTCATGTTTCTTGAGACCTGTGAAGAATTATTTCCATAGTCATAAAATATAAATGTCAAATTTTACATAAAAATTGTCATATTCTTCACTTGAATTCTGTTTGCTTAGTGCAAAAACCTAACTTTTAAAATAGAAATTATAAAGTTAGGAAAATGACCAAATCACTTTTGAATTATATTTAAGTGGCATGACCACCATTAATAGTGTCATGGAGCCCTAACTGGTTTGGCTCAGTGGATAGAGCGTCGGCCTGCAGACTGAAGGGTCCCAGGTTCGGTTCCGGTCAAGGGCATGTACCTTGGTTGCGGGCGCATCCCCAGTAGGGAGTGTGCAGGAGGCGGCTGATTGATGTTTCTCTCATCAATGTTTCTAACTCTCTATCCCTCGTGGCCTCCCTTCCTCTCTGTAAAAAAATCAATAAAGTATATATTTTTTAAAAAATAGTGTCATGGAATTGTTTTTTCTTTTTTTATATGATTGTCCAGGCCCAATTCTCGGGGCTTTGATGTGGGCTTGGGTTAGGTTAGGACCTAAGAAGCATCTATTTTTTTGAAGCTATACAATTGAGTCTGTTAGGCAGCCAGACCTTTCGTTTTGCTTTGCCACTACTGAATAGGAACACTAGATGGTGCCATTTAATAATCTCCAAAGAATTTTAAACTGTGCCCTGAGTATGCATCCAGTTGTAAATTTGGAATAAATGGGAAGTTTATACTTAACATTTGCTTAGTAACAAAAGGACCTAGTATCCTAACTTGCCATCATCCAGTGTCTATTTTGTTTATTCTCTTCTGAGCTTTGATGGTAAGTACCATTTGTTTAATTATAAGCATAATGCACATATTTTTATATTTTCTCTTGGCAGTATACATTTCTCCATGTTGCTACATAGTTCCCCCTAATTATTACTTTAATAGGAGTATAGTATTCCTTTGAGTATATACAGTTTGTTATCTTTAACCTGTCCAACAATCCCTGTGTGATACACAGTAAGAATGGAGAACCACTGATCTGGTGATCCTACACCATGGTAGAGCCATAAAGTCAAACTAGTTTATTTTGTTACATGAAAGCAGTTTAGATAGCAGTATATCATAAAAATCAAGATTACTTTAGAAAATGAAATTGGGTAGATGGAAAGAAGCCGCAGCAAAAATGGGAATATGTACATGGATGTAATGTGTATATGTGAGCTTATGTGTGAGCATGTAGAGAGATGTTATTATAGATGTATTAATAGAGAACATAAGTGTCTAGCTATCGACTATAAGGAAAAACTATCCCCTTATTTGTGTGCCTACACATGAAAGACAATTATTATGCTACAAAACTTGCTCCTGCCTGATGACTAGGTCATATCTCAGGGAAAAACTCATAATAGACACCAACTATCTGCCAAGCATTGTAAACACACTACAATTGGAGTCTTTTAAAAAACAAAAAGTTATATACCAGTAAAATGTAAAACTTTTGAGAGTTTTTATTTATTCTAAACTTTCACCATTATAATACTGCAGCAAGTGTTTCTGTGCACATGCTTATCATTACTGGATTGAAGGGGGTATGAGCATGTTTATGGGTCCTTATATAATGGCACATCTTAAGTGCTTACCAACTTAAAAGTCTTCAGCAAGGATAAGAGAACCATGTTCATCAAAAATATTGTCACCATTAGATAATATTTTTTTTATTTTTTGTTAATGGGAGAAGATGCTTGGTGGAGAGTTTTAAATTTGTGGGTAAGTTTTCCTAAATTGTTCAAAGAATTAATGTATAAGATACTATTCTATGTATTTTAGGGGATATAAAGCTGAATAGAGATTCAGCTTTATATCCCCTAAAATACCTGATTTAAAGAATAGAAGAGTAAAAACCAGTTATTATAAATTAGTCATGTATCAGTCATAAGAGATATGAGCTGGTTTCCTCAGATCAGAGCCTATTTTTAAATCAGCTTGATTTTTTATTAGCTCTACATGTCCAGCCTGTTGATACTACATTCCTACCTGGTATGTATACCATGCTGATTTTCTAATAGCTATCAAAACTATAATTATTTTCTTATTGTGGGTGTGACCATTTTTTAACTTTGTTTTTAAAAATTTATTCCAATTTTATTGAGATATGGGTATAACTGCTGATTTTGATGCATATATATGTTACAAAATGATTACTACATAAGGTTAGTTAATACCTCTATCCCGTCACATAATTACCTTTTTTTGTGTCTGTGTGGCAATAACACTTAAGACCTCTCTTAACTTTCAAATATACAGTGCAGTACTGTTAACTATAGTCATCAAGCTGTATATTAGATCCCTAGAACTTGTCTTACAAGTTTGTATGCTTTGGCCAACATCTCCCTACTTCTCCGTAACTCACCTCCCAGTACCCCCTTACCCCCGCGCCACACACACACACACACACACACACACACACACACACTGAAAAGCACTATCTACTATTTCTACGATTTCAGCTTTTTTATATTTCACATATTAGTGAGAACAGTATTTGTCTTTCTCTAACTTGTTTCACTTAGCACAATGCCCTCAAGGCCCATCCATATTATTGCAAAAGGCAGGATTTCCTTCTTTTTGATGATTTAATAATAGTCCTCTGCGCGAGTGTGTGTATGTGTGTGTGTGTGTGTGTGTGTGTGTGTGTGTGGAGAGACATTTTCTTTATCCATTTATCTGTTAATGGATATTTAGATCGGTTATTGTGAATAATGCTGCAGTGAACATGAGAGTACATATACAGTATCTTGTTGAGATAATGATGTCATTCTTTTTTGGTCTATATATCCAAAAGTAGAATTGCTGGATCATATAGTAATTCTATTTTTAAGTTTTTTTAGGAACCTTCATATTGTTTTCTATAGTGGCAGGACCACTTTACATTCCCACCAACGACAGTGCACAACAGTTCTCTTTTTATGAATGTAACTATATTCTTAAGTTCCCAATTATATTCCATTGATATCTTGAAATACGAAAAATTTTAGATAGAAAAAAAAATTGTATGAGTAAACATTTTGAATGAGTAGAGAGAGACTAATTGCCAACTTATAGTGTTCTATATACTTCAAAGAAAAGTGGGTTATTAGACTCAGAATGAGGTCTGTCTAATACTAAAATACAAAGCACATATATTTTCTGTGACCTGATCAGTTTATATCTTTAGCTTGCTCCTCTGTAAAGAGCAATGAGTTAAAGTAAGGACACTGAATGGGAAATTGGGATTCTAGATCAGGGGTCCTCAAACTTTTTAAACAGGAGGCCAGTTCACTGTCCCTCAGAGCATTGGAGGGCCGGACTATAGTTTAAAAAAAAAAAACTATGAACAAATTCCTATGCACACTGCACATATCTAATTTTGAAGTAAAAAACAAAACGGGAACAAATACAATATTTGTATTTGCATGTGGCCCGCGGCCCGTAGTTTGAGGACCCCTGTTCTAGATCCTTTTGTGTTACTAACCAACAGTTACATTGAACATGTCACTTCTGGGTTTCTGCTTTCAGTTCTGTAGAATGAGGGATTGAATATGTTGATCACATGAAAAATGGTCAAATAGGAAAAGTAGAAAAGCATTTTGTAATAGTGGGGTGGGTTGTAACCTAAAGGCACATGGTAGAAAATCATTATTTCATCCTGACTGGTTTGGAAATTAAGTGAGGAAATTTCTATAAAGTACCTAGGAGAGACCTGGCACATAGTAAGCATTCAGCATTAGCTAGCATGAAAATGGAGATAGTGACAAAGCTTTGGTACTAAAATAGTCTCTTTCTGAATGATTGTGTAATTGAACTGGTTTAACATCTGTACAAAAGTAAGGGATACTTTAAATAAGTCTAAGTTTTTATTTTCTAGGGTCAAACCTAAATCGCTGTGGTTTCCGAGGCTCTTCATACCTGGGTATTCCATTCAATCCATCAAAGGTCAGTGCTGTTTGGGTTAAGAGGAAAGAGAGAGGAGGTGGGGAGATTTTAGTGAGAAAGAATACTAAGCCAGGATACAGAAAGAACCAAGCTTCCCAGTTTCAATGTGGCTGAAACTGTCTAATCCTTCCTATATAATAAAAGGCTAATATGTAAATTGACCAAACAGTGGAATGACCAGTCCCTATGACACGCACTGACCACCTGGGGTCATATGCTCAACATAGGAGCTGCCCCCTGGTTGTCAGTGTGTTCCCACCAGGGGGTGGGGAGGAGGATTGGGCCTAAGCTGTCAGTCGGACATCCCCGAGGCCTCCTAGACTGCAAGAGGGCGCAGGTCGTGCTGAGAGACTCCCCTCTCCCCCAAGTGCACAAATTTCCTGCACTGGGCCTCTAGTAATGTATATTATAAACTCAACTCTTTTTTTTAAATATACTTTATTGATTTCAGAGAGGAAGGGGGAGAGAGAGAGAAACATCAATGATGAGAGAGAATCATTGATCGGCTGCCTCCTGCACACCCCACACTGGGGATCGAGCCCACAACCCGGGCATGTGCCCTTGACCAGAGTCGAATCCGGGACTTTTCAGGCCACAAGCTGACACTCTATCCACTGACCCAAACCAATGAGGGCATGAACTGAATTCTTTAAGGGAAAGCTATGCCCACCTTACTTACTGGAAGAATGTACAATATATATACACTGAGATTCCTATTGTCACAAAAATTTTCTCTCTCTCACTATTTTGTGTGTGTGTTAATTATTAGTGATTCCTTTGAGAAAATGAAAATAAAGCACTCAAGTGCTGGATACTTGCTCTCTAAGAAACCCATGAACTTGTATGTGTAGAGAATGGTTCTCATTTCTTAGTAATAAAAGAAAAACTCTTACTAGGGCAGTAATTAAAGACCTAAGTAGTGATGAATTTGTTGACCTTTGTGGCAATAGGCAAAATACCTTCAGCATTATAGCCGTAGGCTTTGGTACCAGCACATGCAGGTGTAGAAAACAGTGTCCTAACAAAGTGAAAAGCTTATTTTCTTCAAAGAAGCAGACCCAGCACAGGCTTTGTAGATGCTTCATCTGTGCACAAAATACCAGTATTTTTCTACATTAGGGAGCATAGCAAAACATCATTTTGTCAAAAGGGGTTTCACAAAATAGAAACTATTTTCTTGCTCCTGTAATGGTTACAAGTTAGTATCTGGCTACATTGAGTATGCTAAGGTTTATATACAGTTGCAATCTGAAGGTAAATGGCATGCTGCAAGTTTTGCTATCATCTGCTTCAGAATTTTGGGAAAAAATAGCGGTGATTTTGGAGAAGATGACATAATTTGATAGAGGCACTACTTCAACTTTTTTCCTCTGCCTTTAGCCATAGACTACTTGCCTATGTCACAGTCATGAATTTTCCAGGGTGTCTCCAACCATGTGTTTGTGCCCATTGCTTTTAGCAGGGATTCTGAAAACAAAGGATTCATAAACTGAATATATATAAAGTTGATGTTTGCTTTTCTCAATCAGATGTCTATACAAATTAGTATAGACATTTAATTTTACCTATTTACTGAAATTGTTTAATGAAATAAGTTTTTATTTCATTTTACTAATTAACATATTCATTTTTAATTCAGAATCCTGGAACAGCTCATCCTTATGACAGTGGCCACATAGCAATGACCTACACCGGTCTTTCATGCTTAGTTATTCTTGGAGACGATCTAAGCCGAGTAAATAAAGAAGCTTGCTTAGCAGGCTTGAGAGCTCTTCAGCTGGAAGATGGAAGGTATGGGTCATTCTTTTTTATTTATTTATTTTTTTAAAGGAAAGTTTCGAAACTAAAGAAAATGGATGTATTATTATACTAGAACTTTATAGTTTGTCACAAATTATTATTAGTCTGAACTTTTATTCCTTAAGACAGTGATAGGAGGAGAAAGGGATGAGCATTGAATATTCTAGTGTAGGTAGTTTTCTTGACATTTTTAAAGGATAGAAAAAGAAGGTAATGAGTTCATTAATATTTGATGGTTCGTGTGGTTTATCTAACTAAAGAAGAGTTTTCCTAGAGTTTTATGGTGAAACTTTTTTAAGCCCAGGAAGTGATAAAGCAGTAGCTATAATATCTAAACCAGGGGTCCTCAAACTATGGGCCGCGGGCCACATGCAAATACAAATATTGTATTTGTTCCCGTTTTGTTTTTTTACTTCAAAATAAGATATGTGCAGTGTGCATAGGAATTTGTTCATCATTTTTTTTTAAACTATAATCCGGCCCTCCAACGGTCTGAGGGACAGTGAACTGGCCCCCTGTTTAAAAAGTTTGAGGACCCCTGATCTAAACAAAAGACTTTGCAAACAATTGCTGCTGTGCTGTTATTTCTCTGTCCCATCTACTATTATCTCTGTTTTCCTGTCAGTATTTTTAAAATGCAGCTCTTGATGAGGGGAAAATGAATGTCAGCATATAACATAAATTGACATTAGTTGGAAATACTATAATACTAAACATTTGTGTCATCAGGTACATGTGGCTAATTTCTCACTACTTCCGCACAGTCTGTTTACTGCTACCTTATCCTTATCTATATATATAAAAGCCTAAGCAACCGTTCGACCATCAACCAGTAGCTATGATGCACACTGACCACCAGGGGGCTGATGCTCAATGCAGGAGCTGCCAAGCTGTGGTGATTTGGCAGCTGTGGTTCTCGGGTGATGCACCCAGAACCAGAGAGGAAGGAACCTGATTCCGGGGTTCATCACCTGAGAACCGCCCTCTCACAATCCAGGACCCCTCAGGGGATGTTGGAGAGCTGGTTTCGGCCCGATCCCTGCAGGCCAGGCCAAGGGACCCCACCAGTGCATGAATCCGTGCACTGGGCCTCTAGTGTATAAATAAAGGAATAGATAAGAGACAGGCGATTACCTCTCTAAAACTAATTAAATAGATAAAAATTAAGTTAAAATACCATGATCAATAAACTACTGATTGTCTATATATATATATATACATACACACACACACATACATGCCGTAGTTAGAAGAAATTCCACATAGCAAAACTTGGGTTTGGGAATTTCTTACTACCCAATAGGTTCCAGGTTTTACCTGCTTTTTTTTTTTTTTTTTTTGGCCATTAATTCTCTACCATAGCGTGCCATAGCTGTTTCTGGCTGAGAGCAACTTACTCTGACTGGTGGCATCTGGGAGGAATAACTGTGGTAGTATGTAAAACTACCCAGAAATCAGAACTTTGGAGTAATGATGTAGAGATAGTTTTATATTATTCAAGTTAATAGACCTATTCTTTATTGAACAATACAAGTAGTATGTGGTTTTTAAATCTGTTTTTAGATTTTTAAATCCTATTTGTGATAGATTTTTCTGTGACTAAAGATGTGAAGTAGGTGTTTCTAATTCCCCTGCAAAAAATAAATAAAATTTATTGTACAATGTTAATAGTAAATCTTATTATTGTTTGCAGTTTTTGTGCAGTGCCTGAGGGCAGTGAAAATGACATGCGATTTGTATACTGTGCTTCCTGTATTTGCTACATGCTCAACAATTGGTCTGGCATGGATATGAAAAAAGCCATCAACTATATTAGGAGAAGTATGGTGAGTTGTGTGGCTAAATTGACTTTTTAAAATATGTTTTTTTTTAATTTTAGAGAGAGAGGAAGGGAGATAGAAAGAGAAACATCGATGACAGAGAAACATCAATTGGCTGCCTCCTGCACACCTCCTACTGGTGATTGAGCCCACAACCAGGCCATGTGCCTGATTGGGAATCAAACTGGGGACCTCTTGGTGCATGGGACGACACACAACCAATGAGCCATGCTGGCCAAGACTAAATTGACTTTTTAAAATGTTGTTATTGTTGGTATATTGGGGCTATTGCATGCATCATCTCTTCCAGCAAGAGTTTGGAAATAAGGGTAATAAGATTGCTTTCTGGGTATGTCAGATATTAGACCAGTCATATAGAAATAGACTTCAAGGACAGATTTTCTCCTTGACCATTAAAATTAAAATGTGATCTGATTGTACCTAAAGAAACTATGTATTGCCCTAGCCGGCTTGGCTCAGTGGATAAAGCGTCAGCCTGCGGACGGAAGGGTCCTGGGTTCGATTCCAGCCAAGGGCACATACATGCCCGGGTTGGGGGCTCGATCCCCAGTGGGGGGCAAGCAGAAGGTAGCCGATCAATGATTCTCTCTCATCATTGATGTTTCTATCTCTCTCCTCCCTTTCTCTCTGAAATCAATAAAGAAATATTTTTTTTAAAAAAGAAACTATGTATTTTTCAGAAAGAGAATGGTCTGCCTTAGAAGCAGGAAAATAGTAAAATCTCAAAGGCAAATATTAATAGTCCATCCTAGCAGGGACCACTGAGGAGCCTTGGCCAAGCATAATGGGAAATTATGGCATCCTTGGTGAGATGATTCCTATATTGCATGTGAGGTGTGAGTTCCTTAAGCCATATTAACTTGCAAGACCCAAGTATAACAAGATTGACTGGGCTGACAATAAATTTTTTTAATCACTTTTGGTTTCTTAGTAATTTTTTTTAATCTAAAGTTTATTTTAAGGAGAATACCAAGTAGATACGTTATTCTTTCACACAATATAATTTAATCTTTGTATCAATAGCTATAAGGAAATCTTGATCTCAGCTAGAATTATTTTTTGTTCTACTTTTTAGTCTCTTATATAAAACTGGATAAATGGAAGTGCTGCTTCCCAGGTTTATTGCTTTCCAAATATTTTGATGCTCAGATTGTTCCAGATTTGGCCAGTGGGAACCCCTTCAGAAAGCTCTTTGCCTTTTTGACATAGCCCCTTCATTCTTTGAGCATCTCTTTGCTTTGACACAAGATATTTCTAGGTTCATCTTTTTCTTTTCCAGCCTCAGCTCTGGACTTAGTCATTTCTGCAAGAAGCCCTGATTCTTCTTATTGGAGAGAGGGGTTTAGAAACCAGGATTTGTCCCAATATCAATGTGCTCATTGGTATTAGGACAATATTGCTTCTAGCCCCTTTCTCAGCAAGCAGAGGTAGGAAATGTATATATGTATGCATATACACACAGACACTCCCTTAAACACATCTATTTCTATTTCTGTATCTATTTATTTGTATATTTAAAACCAGGAGTTTATACTGATACTTCAGATTCCAATCCAGCATCACAAGATTCATTTTAATCCTTCTCTTTTCATTTGTCAGTGCCGTCCTCTAGCACTGACAGAGCTTCATTATCCAGAATGATTCTTTTTGTTTCGAGCCTGAGGGTATATATTCAGAATATAATATTTCAGAAATACTTAGTTTGCTTCTTTTATTTTCCCCCTTTAATATTTTGGTATTTATTGGAGAAACAAGTTTGTTTCAGTTTGGGTTCCTTTTTAGGACATACCCCCTCCCCCATATACACACATACACACACTCTTTGTCAATTTTATATACTTAATATGTGAAATATTAACCTCCCCTGGCCAGGTGGCTCAGTTAATTAGAGCATCTTCCCATATACCAAAGATTGCAGGTTTGATTTCTGGTCAGAGCACATGCCTAGGTTGAGGGTTCAATCCTCAGTTGGGGCGGGTATGGGATTATTTAGGATGAGTAAAATTGACCATTTTCTTACCTCCACTTCCCATTTAAAAGATCAATAAACATATCTTTGAGTGAGGATTTTTTTAAAAAAATGAAATATTAACCTGGTTCTGAAAGTCAGAACGATACAAAAATGTATATTCAGAGATTGTAACTCATGGGGACCTCGTGTCCTTTTCATCATCCACTCCCATTTTTAACCACAATGTTTACCACCTTATATTCATTCACTCTGTACGTAACCATTCTTACTAATTTTTGATTTGTGTTTCCTATAATTTTTTGATGAGCATGTATGTATATTTTTATTTCTCTTTCAATTTCTTACTCAAAGGTACCATACCATAAATACTTTATTGCAGTTTGCTTTTTTCACTTAACATACCTTGAAAATCATTCTGTATAAGGTCATAGGGATTGTCCTCATTCTTTTTTTAGATATATTAATGGTATTCCATGTGTACAATGGTATGCCATTGTGTACAATGGTATGCCATTGTTTCTTTCAGCTATTCTATGTGTAGAATACATATTTTCCAAATACAAACAATGTTGAAATTAATATGATTTTCTGCATATGTGCTTATGTATTGTTTAAGATATACCTCTAGGGTAAATTCCTAGTAGTGGAATTGCTTGATCAAAAGTTAAATACATATGTAATATTATTAGATATTCCCCATTTTCTTTACCAAAAGTACAGACTACTTTATATTTTCATCACTGTATGACAGTACCTGTTTCCATACAGCCTCACCAATGAAATGTGTTGTCTTACTTTGATTTTCACCAGTCTGGTGGGTGCTTTTTTAATTTGCTTTTATTACTAGAGGCCCAGTGCATGACATTTGTGCACTTTGGGGGGAGGGTCCCTCAGCCCGGCCTGCACCCTCTCGCAGTCCAGGAGCCCTCGTGGGATGTCCGACTGACAGCACTGCCGCGGAGGCGAGAGAGGCTCCCTCCACCACTGCTGCGCTCGCCAGCCATGAGCCCAGCTTCTGGCTGGGCAGCGCTCTTCCTGTGGGAGGGCACTGACTACCAGGGGGCAACTCCTGTGTTGACCATCTGCCCCCTGGTAGTCAATGTGCATCATAGTGACCAGCTGTTTGGTCGATTTGCATATTAGCCTTTTATTATATAGGATGAGTAAGATTGACCATTTTTTTTAACTCCAGGACTATATAAAACAAAACCACAGGCCAAATTTAGCCTGCAATCCTGGTTTGGTGACCTCTAGTTCTAGTCTATTATTTGCTTTTTTCTTTAGGTATTTCAAATTTGTGTATTTTTTTTCTTTGCTTATCTTTCATTTCAACCACTTTCTCATTGGCCCTTTTTACTTCTTTTTTTTCTTTTTTTTAATGTATTTTTTATTGATTAAGATATTACATATGTGTCCTTGTCCCCACGTTACCCTCCCCGCCCCCCCGCTCATGCCCTCACCCCCCTGTTGTCCGTGTCCATTCCTTTTTATTTCTTTATCTCATTTTTATTCTCTTGGCTATTTTAAGTCTTTCTTTAATGTCCCTTTTTGTCTTTTCATTTGAGACTATTATTCTTTAGGCATCCTATAATTTAGTCTTCATTTCTCAATTTATTTTGTCTTTTCCCTCTCTTTCCTGAAATCATTTAACTTTTTTATTTCTTTTTACTGATCATCCTTTTCTGGTTTTCATGTAAAATTTTCTTTTCACATTCTCAGAACTTGTTTGAAGAAATGTAATTGAGTTTGGGGTGCTGTATGAGTTTTCTTCCACTTTATCACTCTTTGGGGGGAGGGAAAGGCAGATTTTCATATATAAGATGTTTTCATTTCAGTTGCTGTGTTTCAGCTTAGTTACTTTGCATAGATTTGCCTTGTTTAGTCATTTAGTGGATTGTGTTTTCTTTCAAGAATTCCTACTTTGATTGCCATTTTTTCAATGCAAAGAAATAAAATTTGATTTTTCTTTTTGATGAGTGTTGGTTGTTTTTTTCTTTTTTAGTGATAGGGAAAGGTTTGTGAGTTCTATGATTTTTCTGGTGGAGGAGAGGTTTTTTTGTTTCCCACGTCTCCAAATTTTGCTCTTTTGAGTTTTCCTTTGCACACTGCCACCTTGACTTGCACACTCTTAACTCCCTTCCCTAAAGTTAGTGCTCAGTTTTACCAGAACTCTTTCAGTTCAGGCAGTTCTTGCTTTGCATGGTCGTGCCAGACTATAAATGATGACCATGCAAACTAAAATAATACAAAGTGATCTTTTTTGTTGTTGTTGTTAATCTCACCCAAAGATATTTTTCTAATTGATTTTTTTTTTTTTAAATATATTTTTTATTGATTAAGATATTACATGTGTGTCCCTGTCCCCGTGTTACTCCCTACCCCGCCCCCGCTCATCCCCTCCCCCCCCCCCCCCCCCC